CTACTTCCTATACTATGGCAGTAACAAGTTGTTTTCCTGTTTGGCTCACATACATTATTGCACATTTTTATCCATTGTCATTTGAATAGAAGTTATTAGGTTAGATCACTTAAATATTTACAGGTTGAGAAAGTAATGTTACTTGCTTAGAAGCAAAATACAGTTCTTGGAGTTATAAGATGTTTGCCAGAAGGAGTTCTCATGTTTCTCGAAACCCTGAATTTTACATTGTTGAGGATAGATCTATCTTGTGTTTGGTACTTAACAAATTTTGTTCACTCTGGTTGACACAATGGCATCTACTCATGGCATCTTGTAGTGAAATTTCTGACAAGAGTTAAGAGTAATTTTACTTTCTGCAACATGGTCAACACTTTTATTTGGATTTGTCCTACTGGTAACTTTCTACCTAAAAAGCAATTACTTCCTACCTGCCCAACGGCCCTCAGGAGTTTAGTTAGATGGCCTGTTACTGCCTTTCCCCGCTGTGAGGCATAAAACTGGTGGGAACATCCTCCATGTGTAAGTCCAGAGCTTAGAGTCCATTTGGAAGAAGCATAATTATGATTAAGAGAAAACCATAGCATATTACATACTTTGCCTTTTCGTGTCTTGTTATGATTGACTATAAAACAATTTACTCTTATTATATGTGAAGTATATAATTCAGTGATTAAAATTGTATTAAAAATACAAAAAAGTAGGAATCAATTTTGTCCATGTCAGGAATACTTAATATAGTACAAGACTCAGGATAATTCTTCCTATGTATATTAGCAGAATAATCTTTTTTCATATTTTATATATTTTCATTTTAAAAAAGTTTAAAAATTAAAATTATAACTAAAATAACCATACATGTTGCAAATTATTTGTGGATGACTATCTTCAATGTAAGTCAGAAATGTGCTATATTGTTAATTATTGGTTGTATTAAGATAGGTGTTCGTTGTACTAGGAGAATTGCATTCTTTGGAATAGAAAGGCGATTCCTCTTCTACATTGTCCTGGTCATAAGATAGTGACTGATGTTTCAATATCTACACATCTGGTTCCCTTCCCCCCACTTCACTAACTCTCCATTATAAATCAGAATAATCATATTTTTCTGTTACCCCAACAACTATTATCTGAACTCCATTATTCAAATGAGTTCCAAGAGAATCTCTTCAAATTTGTATTGTATTACAAAGACCCACATAACCAAATTTTGGTTTAATAAACCTAAATGCTACTTTCCTTTCCTTGCCATTTAAAGGTGAAAATGCACTTCTCTTTGTTCTACTAGAGGCAAGCATGGGATTTAAAGTCTTTCAACAAGCTTAATTTAAAATCAATATTTGTCTGCTCTCTAGGTCTTTGAAAACTGTCCAAGATAGTGTTAGAGTAGAAAGCTAATGTGTAAAATAAGTTCTGCAAATCAGAAAATCAGCATTGGATTGGGTCATTCAAATGAGCTTCTGTATTTCAAATGCATAAACATTTCTGATAAATGGTCATTTAGCTGTATCTTGCCTATCCACCGTCAAAAATGTAAAACCACTCTACGTGATCTATTATATACATATTTTAATTAAACGTTTTTTTAATGTTTTATTTATTTTTGAGACAGAGAGAGACAGAGCATGTGCAGGGGAGGGGCAGAGAGAGAGGGGGACACAGAACCGGAAGCAGGCTCCAGGCTCTGAGCTGTCAGCACAGAGCCTGACGCGGGGCTCGAACTCACAAACCGTGAGATCATGACCTGAGCTGAAGTCGGACGCTTAACCGACTGAGCCACCCAGGTGCCCCTGATCTATTATATTTTTGACATTAAAAACCACTTTGTTTATCTTTATTTTTAGCCAAAATATGATATCTCTATAACTGCCATCCCCTTGATTTAAGGGACCCAGAACAAATCTCTTCCCTTCCCTTGTAGAAATAACATTTCCTTTACTCTATTCCCAGATAATGAGATTTTTCCTTCTTTTGCTAAACCTAATCTGAACCCCCCACGTCTTCTGGAGTCAATGCTCCATCATTTCTCTGAATCTCTCTCTCCCAATTTATTCTTCTCACCAAGCTATTAAAATATTTTTCCAGTAAAAAAAAAATCCTTCTCTTGACCACATGTCTCATTATATAATTATGGTACCAGGTGTGTCTTCTTTCATAATTTTCTTGTAAGAATAGACCACAGTCATTATCTCCATTTCCTCACCTTCCAATTTTTCTCAAACCACTAAAGTTTCTGCCTTCCTTATTCCATTTATAGTGCTCTTTAAAGGTAAAAAAATCATATTCTAATAGCCTTGTAATGGTAAGTTTATTTATTTACTTTGAGAGAGAGAGAGAGGGCTGGGGTGGGGCAGAGAGAGAGAGAGAGAATCCCAGGCAGGTTCTGCACTGCCAGCGTGGAGCCCAATATGGGGCATGTACTCACAAACCATGAGATCATGACCTGAGCCAAAGTCTAGAGTCCGATGCTTAACTGACTGAGCCACCTAGGCGTCCCTCTAATAGCCTTGTAAATACTGTGCACCTGAAGCTAAAAACTCATCCTTCCTCCCCAAATGGTATTTTCTAGGGTCCACAAAACCTGAGAAGTCTCCTTGGCCATTGTTCCTCACTCCCCCAGTGTAATCAGTCATGTTCCACAGCTTACTCTTAAATTCCATCTTGTTTCTACCATTTTTTCTTCACCTAATCAGTGGGCCTGGCACATATTCTGTGATTAATAAATGTTTAAATATGTGAACTAATTTATCAAAGAAGGGCATCTCTCAGGCAAATGCTACTGGCTACTTCTCTTGTCTGCTTCTAACAAGGTTCCAGAGAGCCCCTTTGATGTTTCCCTTTCAGTTCCTGGTCACTAACCTAGACCCTCGGACTAAGGAGGCATCCCCTCTCCCTTGATAACAGACTTAGACTGCTCATAACATATTTGTCTTGACTTAGAACTTAGAATTCAGGCTAACAGGCCTAGAACACCTCATGTGCTAGATTTGTTACTCTCATAAGAAAGGCTATAACTCAAACAGATAATGTACAATTAAGAAGCTGGTATAAATATAAATCAGAGTTCTAGAAAACTAATGATCAACCTATACTGAAATCTTGTACCACAGTAGTAATTACAGCCACACTAACATAGCACCAATTACGTGCCAAGCATTGTTCTAAAGGCGCTGTTTATAATTGTTTAAGACTTCAGCAAACGATGTGTGTAACATTACCATTTTCCCAGTCTCACTAAAAAAAAAAAAAAAAAACTGAGGCAAAATTACTTGTCCAATCATATCGATCGTAAGTGACAGACCTTGGGTGTGAACCCAAATACTTAATTATTAACCTACACTGCCACACCCTGAAGAAAATCAAGAGATTCTATGCCAAGTAATCCCTTACCAAACTCAGACCGGTGCCTTAGATGGTTGGACATGTGATCCTACTTTGCTTTCCTGATACATAGTATACTTTACAAACCTTGTCCCATGTCAAATGTCAATAACATAAACAATGTGCGACGTGAGAGGTAAACGCCATTCCAGGAATCCAAATGTGCTGTTTGCCCAAATAACATTATTATTAGCCTGAGAAGAATACGGTTACTCCCCCTTATCTGCAGTTTTGCTTTCTGCAGTTTCAGTTCCCTGCTATCAACCGCGGTCCAGAAGCAGATGGATGGTCCTCCTTCTGACGAATCGGCAGAACGTCAATAGAAGCCTAAGTTTACGTCAGAATGCTGCGTCATTACCTCGCTTAGTTTCGCCCAGGCATTTTATCATCTCCCATCATCGCATGAAGGGTGAGTACAGCACAATAAGATATTTTAAGAGATCAAAACCACATTCACATAACTTTTATCATAGTCTGTTGTTGTAAATGTTCTATTTTATTATTACTTGTTTCTCTTACTTTGCCTACTTTATAAAGTAAACTTTATTTTATACAGGTATGTTTTATGTAGGTATGTTTATAATAGGAAAAAGAATAGCATATATAGGGTTCAGCACTATCCAGGCACCCACGGGGGGTCTTGGTGCATATCGCCTGTGGATAAGCACGAACTGCCATATTGGCCTGTGTTTCTCTTCAGTTACATAAGTAGATACATTTGGAACTAATCCCTACAGAGATTTGGGAAATGAATACAGGAGAGTTGAAGGGAAGGAGACTAGAGAACAAAGGGGTACCATTGAGAACCTTGTTTCCTTCCCCCAAGCCCCTAGCACCTGGTAAATTTCCAAAATCTCATCAGAAAGCATAATATATTTACAGCAATATTTATCCTCTTGACTATTAACTCTATGCCAAATATTCTTGCCTACATTATCTTTAATTACGTCCAAGCCCCACAAATTAGATATATCATCCCCCCATTTTGCAGATGTTTTCCAAGGCTGCAAGAATTTAGCATTACTAAGAATCAAAGAACTTGTGGTTGTGGAAGTGGAATGAAAAATGGAATTCCTCTGATTCCAGTGCGTAAATGTACTTTGCGTTGTCAGTCCTAGGAAAGCATCTATCTCAAGCAGCAGTAGCCCAGTATTTCCCATGTCACCTAGTGAGGACTTGTGGCTCAAGCTGAATTGACAAGATTCCTGCCAGCTTTATATTCCAGAGAAACTGGTTGTTCATCACATTTATGCCTATACCTCTGTCTATGTGTATATCTGACAAATCAAAATTTGCAGGGTGATCAAGCATGTTTAGTAATGTGAAGAAATGCCTAAGGATAAGTGCAAATTAAAATTAACACCAAAATAGAGAAATAGGTTATGCATAGTGAGTATATCAGTCAGGATGAGCTAGGTTATACTACAGTAATGACAATAACAAAAAATTAAACTGTCTGTGATTTGGCCAGACAAAAGTTTATTTTTTGCTCACTTGAAGCCAGTTTAGGGTTCAGGTGATTCTCCGGGATAGTCACCTTGAATGTGGTTGTTTGGCAATCCAGGCTGCTTGGAGCTTTTGGCTTCTTCTCAACACGTGTTTTCATAATTTCAGGGAAGGAGAGTGCTGATGTGTCTTGTACTGTCAACTTAAATATCTCCATACAGACATGACATATATCACTTCACTTCCAACCCATTGGCTCTCCAGTGTGCCTAGAAGGAAAAGAGAAACAAACAGTGAGTAATACAAGTGTCTCCTACACAGAGCAAAAATCAAAAAAGAGAGAGAGAGAATATAAAGTATAAAATAAACAGAGAAAATCGATAGAGTGAACTGTGTTATGATTGCATGATTGATCATGTTTTTGCTATTTTAGGTACTGAATGTTAAAAATTATTCTAGAGGTGCCTGGATGGCTTAGTCAGCTAAGCGTCTGACTCTTGATTTTGGCTTGGGTCATGATCTCATGGTTCCTGAGTTCAAGCCCAGCGTCTGGCCCCCATGCGGCTCCTAATCAGGCTCCCATTGGGCTCCTCACTGACAGTGTGGAGCCTGCTTGGGATTCTCTCTCTCTCTCATTCTCTCTCTCTCAAGATAAATAAGCTTAAAATAATTATTCTACAGTCTTTCAGAGGAAAAATACATGAATTTCCACTGTTAGAGTTGAAACACCTCACTACATGTTACCCTGTACCTTCCATCAGTCTTTGAGATGTTGCTCCGTCCCTGAAGGCTTTTTAGTGGGTTGAAGAGGTAGATAAGTAAGGGTAAAGAGACTGACTATGACAGCAGAGCAAATAGTTTATGTTGCACAAGCACATCACTTCCCTGATTTTTTCCTACCTTTTTTTTTTACCTTTGAAAAGAAAAATGTTGTTTCCATTTATATACTTGAATATCATGAAGGCATGAACTCATTGGTTGTATTTATAATAGCACCAGTCTTTCTATTGCTGCTTAGAAAATGAAAAGTAATTTTACTGCTTTTAGTTTGGACCTCACTTCTTTCATTTTAAAGAATATAGTTTTAAAGAGAACCATTGCTGGAAATAAGGGCCTGAGGAAAGAGCATGGTCCTTCAGCTCACTTGAGGGACATCATGTTCCTCTCTATTGTATTCCCCAGAGCTAATGTAATCTAAGTGACATACAAATTGAATTGGCTTTCCAGATTTTCATATACTTGTAACAGGTTGTTGAAGAATATAGACTCATAGAGGTAAGAATATAAGTTAAAAATTTTTCCCGAACTGTCCTCAATAGTTACTATGCTATAAATTACTTTTTCCATCTCTTACTGAATCTTTGTCAGAGTCTATAAATTTTCCAGCCACTTTTGTTTATTAAGATTCCAATCAAGTCTGCAGCATCAATATTGTATGAATTCAAAGCTCTTCTTCTTCAAGGATAGAGTCGAGTAGCTTGGTGGTGGTACTTTCTTCTTACAAGATTCATGCTCCTAAATCTCCTAAAAGTTCTGACTTCTCTAAGCCTGGGGATAGAGATATCAGAGAGAAGTGGCAAATCTTTCCCCATTTGTCTGTGTGATGACACAGTCCTCCTCTTACTGTGTTTTTGTTTTGTTTTTGTCGCTTTTCTGACTGCCATTGATTGGCTATCTATGCTTTTTGAAGAATATTTGGTCTAACTCTTGATAGTTCAGCAAATATGTTGGTCCTTTTGAGCTTCTCCACTACAAAGTTTTCTTTTGTACACCATCTAGAGTTGTCTCCACTTTTCCCCCTTAAAGCACACAACCACTGATCTGCCCCTCGGGACTTTCTGGCTGGTTACCTTACGGTACATCAGTGAGAATTGGGAATCTGTCTCAGGTGAAGTACTAGAAAGATGCGTGAAGCCCAGATGTCTTCTGAATTGTCCATTCTGTCCCTAGGTGTGTTAAATCATGGTAAGAATAGATGGTCCTCCAAAGATTTCCACATCGAATCCCTGGAATCTATGAATGTGTCATGTTACATGGCAAAGAGAAATCAAGGTTGCAGACAGAATTAAAGTTCTAATCAACTGACTTTAAATGAGAGATTCTCCTGAATTACCTGGGGGGATCCAGTGTAATCATGGAGGGCCTTAAGAGTGGAAGAGGGAGGCAGAAGGTTAGGTCAGAGTGGTGTGACGTGAGGAGGACTTGACGCGCTGTTACTGGCTGTGAAGCTGGAAGAAGAAGGTTACGAGCCAGGAAATGTAGGAGACCCCTAGAAGCTGGAAGAGGCAAAGAAACATCATTTTCTAGAGACTCCAGAAGAGAAGGCAGCCCTAGGGGCACCTTGACTTTAGTTGAGCGAGACCTGGGTCAGACTTCTGATCTACAGAACTATAAAATTGTCATGTAAAGCTGTAAATTAGTCTTAAAGCACTAAATTCGTGGTAATCTGTTATGACAGCTAGAAAACAAATACACTGGACAATCCTTGCGTTCTTGCCATGCCAGTGCTTCCAGTTGCTCCACGTGGCTGCCTCTTCTTTCAGCCTGGGCTCCCTTTCCTCAACTCAGCCCTGTAAAGGTACAGACTAGCAGCCCAGGTAGTGTCAACATGGGGAACGAGGGGCTCTTTCCTTTCACACAAGCAGTGGCCTTCTACTTACTTTTGAGTTCATTTTTTCCTGAAAGTATACATTTATTGCTAGAGTAAATGTTTTATAAAGCTCTTTGCAAAAACACAGCAGCCTCTTGCCATCAGTACCTTCTACCGTTTCCTCGTTTACAGAAGCAACCGACTTTAATTCATTTGGCTATGTCTTTTGGTAGTCATACCTCTAAATGACATGCTTATATTGCTACTTCTTGATCTTTCTCTATCTGCTGTCTTCCCCAAATGGAAAAATTATCCATCCTTTACCTACATCCTTGCCCACCATACATAAAATCTCCTCCCTCCCAACCTCCCAAGAGGGTTATGTTATAATTTTGTCTTAACAACTGTTAAGAATTTATATTGTTAGGGTGCCTAGGTATCTCAGTCGGTTAAGCACCTGACTGTTAATTTTGGCTCAGGTCATGATCCTGTGGTTCATGGAATCGGGCTGACAGTGCGGGGCCTGTTTGGGGTTCTCGCTTTCCCTCTCTCTCTGCTCCTCCCCTCTACACACACGCGGTCTCTCTCAAAATAACTAAATAAACATTTTTACAAATCTTAAAACAAGAATTTACATTGTTATGACATGTAAATCCTCACACAGTATACTATGGTTTTCATCATCTTTGGGATTAAAATTGTCTTTTCTGTTAATTTTTTGATTTTCTGGGTACACATTATGCTTCCACCTCAAATATTTGCCAAATAATAGAAATCCTCTCTCAATACTTTTAGAGACAACAGGTGTTCTACTTTTAGTGTTTTCAGAGAAAACACAGCCATAAACTGATCTGCTTCAATCTGGACTGGTTGCCTCTAGGTCCCTGCAAACCATTCCTCCTGAGATCTCCTTCCATTGTCTTCCTGAGGGTTCTTTAAATTTTTTTAATGTTTATTTATTTTTGAAGGAGAGAGGCAGAGCATTAGTGGGGGAGGGCAGAGAGAGAGGGAGACACAGAATCTGAAACAGGCTCCAGGCCCTGAGCTGTCATCACAGAGCCCAGTGCAGGGCTCGAACTCACGAACCTGGAGATCATGACCTGAGCCCAAGTTGGACGCTTAACCAAATGAGCCACCCAGGTGCCCCATCTTCCTGAGGATTCTTGTCACCTCTTGCTTGTGCCAGATACGTTTCCAGTGTCCACTACTGGGAAAGTATGAGCAGGAGGTAAAATTTGAGGATTTTGTCTATCTAAAAACATCTCTTACCCTTGTCTCTACCCTTGTCTTGATTTTGTCTGGGAGTTGAACTGAAAATAATTTTTGCTCAGAATTTTGAAGCAATTGCTCTGTTTTCTTCCGGCTGTCAACAATATTGATGTCAGACTTCCAAAGCTGTTCATACTCTTTTTTTTTTTTTTAATCTCTGTAAGTAATCTCTACACTCAACATGGGGCTTGTTCTATGAACCAGGATGCTAGTCCTCAGCAGATATTGAATCTGCCAGTGCCCTGATCTTGGATTTTCCAGCCTCCAGAATTATAGCAAATAAATTTCTTATAAGTTGCTTATAAGCCTTCCAGTATATGGTATTTCTGTTATAGCAGCCGAAACAAACTAAGGCACTCCATAAATTTTCCTTCCTTCCTTCCTTCCTCCCACCCTCCCTTCCTCCCGTCTTCCCTTCCTTCTTTCCTTCTTTCCTTCCTTCCTTCTTTCCCTCCCTGGGAGATTTTGTTTCCTAGGAGATCTTACCTTGCTTCCAACATGCATATTGAGTTTACTGTTTCCCTTGACATATTTTTAATTCTCAAGGGCTCTTTTTGGTCTCTAAGTGCATTTTAAAAGTAGTTTCCTATAATTGTTTTGTGTATGCTGCATTCTACCTTGTGTTTTATCCTCTCCAGAAACTAAAACCTCCATTGTCTACCAGGTTGGAGAAGCTATAGTAATATATCTTCTGATATATATACTATATAGATATACTATATAGATATATACTATACAGATTTTATATACTATAAGATATAGTAATATATCTTGATATACATATATATATATATATATGGTAATGTGAATATATGAAATAAGTGAGAGGATCTAAGATTCTAACTTCTTCTTAAACAGACTTTCAGCCAATCTGCTGTTTTTAAAACCATCTTTTCCCCCTACTTCCAAAGCATCTGGTGCTTCCAACTACTGGAGTGTTTTCAGGGATGAGCAATGCAAATTGGGTTATTTATTGGCCTTCACCACTGCCAGTTTAGGATCCAGCTCTCTCAGGGCTGGTAGATCCATTAACTTTCATTCTGATTTTCAGATTCTGATTTTTCTCAGTTTATCTGCTTTTGCAAGTATTTTTTCTCCTGTTTTCTTTGTTCTTGTGATATCATTCCTTTAAAAATTCTGCAAACTGTTGTTTAAGTAGGGTTTTTATAATGAGTAGGGATAAAAGTATATGTTCAGTTGATTGTATTAAATACCTTTAATTGGGATGACACCACACATGTTTATGAACAATTCACTTAGAATCATCCTCCCATTGTAATCACTTGGCTTTGGCAGGAGTGGGGAAGGAGAGCACAAAGAAAGAAAACCCTCTCAACACAACACTATACTTCTTAGAGAACTTAATGCTTTCTGCCATTCCCTAGGTGGTGGTTGCAGACCTGTTTCTATAGCCTGTTAGAAAATGCTGTGTTA